ACTGCAACTCTTTTGATAGCTAAGTCATTATATTAAGTTCGCAAAAGATCAAAATATCTAGCCTATTTTAGCACCATGCTGATACATTTTAGATCTAGTAGTTTTGCTGCTTGTTGTAATATTTGTAATTGGTAACATCTGATTAATATATTATCAACCTATACTTGTTCATATTAGTTGGGATATATTTAAGTCTTTATAATGCCTTTTGTTTAATACACGGCAACGTAATTCTTTAAGTTATACTATTTTTCTAATATCATGCAGAACCACTGAGTCAACTGGTTTAGTGAGAACTTGATTTAGTGAGTGTTAATACCAGATTCTGAAGGGGAAGGTGGCTCTCTTTCATCTAGATCATCTGCAGAAGACATGGTTCCGCTGGACGGTGTTCGTGGAAGTTTTCGATTAAAGTCTCCTGTAAGAAAAATATGGATGTAATTACCTGATCATGCACTTTAGAATTTTATAAATGGAGAATGACAACATTTTTTGAATAGCGCAGTCATACTATTTTATTAGTGACCATGTAAAATATTTGCTTCCATTCTCAGACTTTGGATACAAGGAAGTCTGATACTTATTCCTGGGAGCAAAAGTGAATTGAACCAAAACTGACTTTTCCAAATAAAATATAAAATTGAGGATTACATCTCAATGAGACCTTAACTGCAACTTGTGACAGTGTCAGACTGTAAGCTCTAGAGGACAGCAGGTATTTTCTATTCGTGTCTTATACCTAACATCTGACAAGAGTGGCTAACACAATAGTAAAGTTGTCCTTAAATGCTTCTTGAATTAAATTATAAATAAATGCATACAGTATAATCCAAACTGTGTATATAAAAATCTTTAAACATGGTTAATACAATAGGAACATGACATCTATGTTACCAGTAAGACAGGAGACTGGAACCAGGAAAATGATTCCTGGCAGGGAGCTGAGAGCACAGGATCCAAACTATACCAGCAAAGGATTCTGCCATGTGTATCAAAGCATGTTCAGAAGTAGACCACCTAGATAATGAAATTTATTTGCTCCCTGCTGATATTACAAACATGGCTGTAGTTAAGTGGAAGAATTCATTTAACTCAAGGCTTTAATAGTCTAAGGTTCTAGAAAGGGCTAGAAAGGGCTTTACAAATGATTTAAACCAGCAACCTCACCCCAAAAAGATTCCTCTGCATAATAAGCTTAAAAGGTAGTCATAGGTAGTCAACTGGTATTTGTTTTGAATGTGTCCCCAATGACTAAGAAATTATGAGGTCATATGTTCCATTTTAGAACTATTCTAACTGTAAAATGGCTTCCTTATATTATCAAGAAGAAATCTGCCTTCCTATAAATCCTAGTCTTAGGTCATAATTCTCCCTAAAGGAGCAAACAAAAGCACTCTAACTTTAATCTCTTTACATTTCCAATATTTGAAGACAGCTGTCATGTCCTCAAGTTTCCTCTTTCCCAGGCCAGGCAGCCCTAGGTCTTCATCCATTTATCATGTAACCAGTTTCCAAATCTTTATCACAGGCAGTCTTACAGGATTCTAAATAATTTAGGGCTTTCTCTAGGATAGGTCTTAATTTTTGGGACTAAATGGAACCACACTGTTTTTACAAAGCTAATAATAAATACTCAGTTAAATATTTAGGCTCACATCTCCAGAATGTCCCTTGAACAGAGCTAATTTTAAAGGAAGACACAAAGTAAGCCTACTAACCTCAGTGCTACATGGAAGTATTTCTAACTTTAAATTCAAGAGATTTATTTACAAATAAAATTTCTGTAATATGTTGAATACTCAAAAAAAAAAGGCCTTGAACTTTGTGGTTAAATCCTATAATGTCATCTCCCGCAGTGCCAAGATCCTAGGAGGAAGGAATGTAGCTAGAAAGAACAGGACTGGAGCAGTCTTTGGTCAAGGAGTGGAGGAAAATAAATGTAGAAGTAACAATCTTATGGGTTCAAGTGCTACCTTCTTCTGCTAGCTGTGCAACACATGGCAAGTTATCCTCCTTGAAGTCAGCACGGGAGAGTTCAAAACACTTACTCTGCCTCTCTAAGGAACATGAGATTATCAAAGCACCTTAAAGTACATTTATAAAAAGTTAATACATAATCATAGACCCAAGAACTAGTGTTAATTATGGTGTTCATTCTAGCAATTAACTACAAAACGATCCAAAAGATCGAGACTAATAATGTTCACGGAATAAAACAGTATACAGAGTATAGTATAAAATAAAGATGGCTACTCTCATCAATATGGATCTCAAGCAAAAAAATGCATGAAAGAAGTCACAAAAGAAGGGTATGATTCCACCTGTACAATATTCTGAAGAGGGCAAAGTTTAACTAGATATAGGTACTAAAACATTTAACATAGCTAGGAATGATTAACAAAATTCAGGATGATGGCTTATTCTGGTAGGATACGGCAATGTTACCAAGAAGTTACACACAGGAGCTTTCTAATATACTGATAATGCTCTACATTTCTCAGGCTGGGTGGTGAATATGTAAGGATTTATTATTTTTCTTTTTAGTGCACATATATATATACATACTCCTCTCTAAGAGGTAGTTCATTATAAATATAAGGTATTTAAGAAATATTCCCCCAAAGGAATACTTCAATTGTTCACTGAATTTTCACTTCTAAACTTAAATAATTTATATACCTGGACTTATAGATTCTGAATCTAGAGATCTAGATTCACTGCTTCCTCCAGTGCTCTCAGAGTCACTGAACATCCCAAATGTCCATGGCCTTATACAAGAAGGACCTTTAAGAAAAGAAGATTTGAAGTTAAACTTGGCTACAGATAGATTATCAGGCAAAATAATGACATATAAATGAGACGAGTCAAGTTTCTTTATGATCAACAATCCACTTTAAGACAGGCACAGTGCTTACAACTGTGAATAAGCCTCATAAAATTACAATTCAAGGCCTGATTTTTAAATTCCAGAGTTGCAACTCATTTAATAATCACATTCAAACAATTTGGTCTTTCGTGAATTAATGCTGTCTTTAACGTGAAAAGTACCTGTCGTATCTGCGCTGTTAGAGCATCTGTCCTCTTCCATTTTATTACAACTGTCAGGAAGGCGCGCAACGTCCTCTAAAGAGTCGGCAGGTCCATACCCAGACGCGTTGGGACTGTTTGTCAACTGTTTATTTACATTCCTAAGAAAAACCCAAATAAAACTCATCCTCAGAAAAATGACTAATAATCCACCTATTTTACTCTAATTTCAGAAAAATTTGTTAATGAATGTATGGTAATTTAACTAAATATTAAGAACAGACCATATTATATGGCTTGACTTCTTAAAGGAGATGCGAATAAAACTTATTAATTATTTGTACTCACTACAGCTGAAATATAGAAAAGAGTAGCAAAAGTCAAATCAATTATTCATGTTAGGTAAACTTTTCTACTATAATCTCTGTGGAAAATGCAGGTTAAATCTGTGCACTATACATTCAAAATAGATATGACCATTATTTGCCAATCTCGAAGGATTTTTAAATCTCAAAGAAATGAGCTCTTGTGTCAAAATGGAAAGCTTTTTACTCTTGAGTTACACCTTAAATAATATAAAAAATTCCAGAAAATTTTAAAGTCAAATCTGGCAATGTTAGAAAAGATACAACTTTATACCAGAGAGAAACTTAGACGAGATATTTAATCTCTTAAAAAAAACTTCATCTACACATTAATTCTCACCCATCAACTTTTTCTTCTTCGGTTGAATTTGTGGCCTTGACAAACTCACAATATTCTTGGCCTGGGTCATACAGTTTGGCATTATCACAGAGAGACTGCAGACTGTTTGCGAGGGAGGCAGTTTGTAGTTGTTGCATCTGGAAGAGGTTAACTGTAACCTATGGTCACAGAGATAAAAGGCAAAATAACTCATGATATACAGAATGCTATGTAAATATGCATTTATTTCAAGTGACAGCATGGAGAAAAAGGTCACACAGTGAAGCACACAGCACTGAATATCATTGTGAGCATACTCTATCGCCTGACTTCGTGCATGGTCTAGATCAGGAGAAAAAAAAAAAAATTAATCCAATATCTAGGAGCGATCACTTCCAGCAAAACTGGCTTTAAACTGAAAAGTTCAAAAATATAACCCCATGTCCCTACTGGCTCACAATTTTAGGAGATAAGAGTATTTTTGAGAATCCCCAGCTCTTTACTCTGATGGTCTGACCACACTGTCTAAACTCTTAAGTAGAAAACGTGAAGGGAAAAATTTCAATCAGAACACTATTATTTAGACTTTCGTTTTTCAATCCTATAAAAATATAAATGCTTTATATGTATAATGTATCCTATAGCACTCAATTTTTATAAGTAGGTATATATTGAATCTATTCAAAATATATTATTCCACCGAATTTCTACAAATGCCTAAACATAACTCTCACTACTACTACTGCTTACAGTAACAACAATAATAGCAACTGAGGGGTGTTTACAATATACCAGATGCATTCTGAAACTTTACATGAATTAACCAATGTTCACAAAAACCTAGGCTTTGGGTATGCTATGGTAAACAAACAGGTGAGATTCCAGTCCTCATAGAGTTTATGTTCTCCTGAGGGTGGCACTGAAGAGAGAACAAAGTAAATAAGATAATTTCTGGTACTGAAAACTGCTAATACTACTATATAAGATTGGTAAGTTATGGAATATGGCCAGGTATGTGCTTGTGGAAGGGTATTTTTGACATGGTAGGTTAATGAAGGCCTCTCTGAGGAGGCAGCATTAGAACTGAGACCTGATATAAGAGCAAGTCAATGCAAAGTTTTAGGGAGAAGACCAACCCAGACAAAAGACTCTAGGACAAGAGTGACTGGAAAAGAGCTTGTTGGGCTCAAGAAACAGATGAAAGTCAATATGGCTGTAGCACAATGAAAGAGGTGGAGCCAGAAAGGGAAGCAGTCATCTAAATCACATTAAGGAGTCTGGATTTAGGTACAAGGAAAGCCAGTGGGGAGTTTTAAAGTATTAAAAGCTATAACATGATCTGATTTATTTTTTAAAATGCCAGTGGCTCCTGTGCTGAGAATGTGAATGAATGCCAAATTTGACTGGCTTAATGTTATTTCAAACACTGCCATGTTTCCTCTTCATCTCTCTTGATATACCAGACGATATGGTGAGCTTATGATTAGCCTCTAAGTCCTTTCCGAGGTAAACAGGCATTCCTCTAGGATAACTAAAACTCAGCACAAATAGTATTTGAAAAGTGCACCAACAGAATAGCTTATTTAATTCTTTCAAGAAATAAAGGAAATTCAAACTGCAGATAGTAAAACCTAAATCTAGTAACTAACTATGATCAGGGAATTCTCCACTTAATGGTAAACTGAACTTACTCTCTTGATCCTAAAGTTTAACTACTTATTTGTAATACTTTTTAATAAATTTTATAAATCTAGTTAAAAACACCAATAATTTGAAAAGCCAAATGAATAGCAACAGACATAATAAATTCATCTGCTGAATATTCGTCTCTAGGTATTTATTAATAATAAAAGACTTAAGCAATAATATATATAGGAAGCCCCATCTCGAAATCTCTTTTCTCTCAATCATTCAGCCTTCTCGCTCACTTAACAGAAATGCTAACAAGTAAGGCCTCCATGAGGTAGATCCTGCAGGAGTTGCTGGGCATCTTAGCTGGGGGGCGGCTCATAGGTATCTAAAAAAACATGATGTTTCTAGACCCTTTTGCCCTTCAACCTGCTTTGTGAGTCAGGGGCTTAGTCTTTTTCTTCTAGGTCTCCAATGTGTAGCACAGTGTCCCAAATACGTCATAAATGGGAAATGACCAAATGAATAGTAGTAGAAAATATTATTAGTCAAGGTCATACTGCAATCTGCACGTTTTCTGGTATTGCTCACTCAACCACACAGGACTTCCAAGTCTATGGCCAGCTTTTATCACTAACATCTAATTTTTAGTTAGTACACTGGCACCTAGATTAACATAAATTTTTCTGACAGCTGGTGAAAAAATTTTTCACAATTTCAAATTAACAGGAAAAGTTTCTCTCAAAAGAGAACTTAAAATCATGTTATATGAAGAAAAGTAATCAGATTTGGGGGTGTTTAATGTGGAGGAAAAACCCAGGGAAGGAAGATAGTAATTATCTTTAAATATTTAAAATGTAGTCTTGTAGAAGAGGAGTTATATTAGTAAAGTAGAGAGGTACACAGGGAAACAGATTTTTTTTTAGCTCAATATAAACATCATACTAATTTTGGAGTTGTTCAAACCCAGACTGAATAATCATTAAGCAAGACAGCACAGTATTTAAGAGCAAAGGCTCTAAAGTCATTCAACCAGGTTCTTATCCCAGCTTTACAATTTATATAACTGGACGACCTTGATCAAGTAACTTATAAGTTCCCTAAACAAGTGTTTGAAAAGTTAATGTGCCAATGAATCACGTGGGGGATCTTGTTCAAAATGCACATTCTGATTCTGAAAGGGAGAGGTCTATCCCTAGGTGCAACCATTAAAACAAAACTACACAGAGATATAGTTAAAAAACTAATAGATAAATTAAAATGTAAATAAATATTTTAGATAAATGAAACTATCATTCTGATAAATAAAAACAGATTAAATTAAATCTATACTAGATAAATTAACTAGATAAATTAAAATATAATTCTAAAAATTTATCAATTTATCTAAAATAAGGCAGCTAAAGGCAAACAGATGAAGGAAAACAGAAAGTACAAACAGAAAATCAATAATGAAATAGTAGACCTAAATTTGAACAATTTTTATATCAAATATAAATGGTCTAAATAGTTCACTTAAAAGATACAGACTGTCAAAATAGATTTTTAAAAAATCAAGACAACTATATGCTATATAAGAAATTCATTTTAAATATGAGAAAGTTAAAAGAAAATGAAGAGAGATATACTACGTTAAAAATAATCAAAAGAAAACTGAAATAACTATATCAATATTAAATAAGGTACATTAAAATACAAGGAAAATTACCAAGATAAAGGGACATTTCATTGGATAAAAGGATCAATTCACCAAGAATATACAACAATCATTAATGTATAAGCATCTGACAGAGTTTCAAAACACATAAAGCAAAAACTGATAGAACTGAAAATATACAATATGTAGAAGACTTCAAAACTCCTTTCTCAGTAATGAACAGTAAAAAGTAAATCATCAAGGATATAGAAGAAATAACACAAACTGATGGGAACTAACTGACATTTACAGAACACTCTGGTCAACAACAGCAGGATACACATTCTTTTCAAGTGCATATACAGAACATTAACCAAGATAGACCATATCCTGGGTCATAAAACGAACCATAACAGATTTAAGAGAATCAAAATCGTACAAAGTATTTCTCTTAGCATAAAAGAATTAAACTAGAAATCATATCAGGAAGATATTCAGAAAATCCTCAAATACTTGGAAATTAAGCAACAAACTTCTACATTATCCAAAGGTCAAAGATAAAGTCTCAAAGGAAATTAGAAAATATTTTGAACTGTACAAGAATGGAAATATATAATTCGAAATTTGTGGGATGCGGATAAGCAGTGCTTAGAGGGAAAATTAAATAATATTTGTATTTAAAAAAGCAGGGAGATCTTGACAAACAATCAAAGCTTCCGCCTTCAAGTAACTAAAAACAAAAGCAAAATAAACCCAAAGGAAGCATAAATAATTTTTTTAAAAAAGAGGAAAACCAATAAAATCGAAAGCTGTTTCTTTGAAAAGATCAATGAAATTTATAAACCTCTAGCCAGGTTAACGAGAGAGGGGGGTGGCGGAAGGCAAATTACCAATATCGGGAATGAAAGAGAGCATATCATTCTAGCCCACTGAGACACTGAAAGGATAAGGGAATATTATTAACAACTCCATGCACATGAATTTGACAACTTAGATGAATGGGACCAATTTCATGAAAGCCACAAACTACCAAAAATTCACCCCAAAAGAAATATTTAACTCAATTAGACCTATATCAAAGAGATGGAATATATAGTAAAAAATCTTCTGAAAAACGAAAACTCTAAGTTCAACTGCTTTCACCAAGAAATGTCACCAAACATTTAAAGAAATAACACCCATCCTATACAATCTCTTCCAAAAAATAGAATAGGAAGAAACACTTCCCAATTCAATTTATGAGGCCAGAATCACTGATACCAATGTGTAAAAGGAGCAAGGCATCACAACCGAGAGGCTTATGCCAGGAATAAAAGCTAAATCAACACTCAAATATCTACGTAATCCAACATATAAACACACTGAAAAAGAAAAACTACATGATCGCATCATTCAAATGATATAAAAATCATTTGACAAAATCCAACAACTTCATGATAAAACCCTCAGCAAACCAGAAAAAGGGGGGAAATTCCTTAACCTGACAAAGGATGTCTTCAAAAAACCTACAGCTATCATCATATTTAATGTGGAAAGACTAAGTGCTTTCCCCATAAGATCAAGAATAAGGCAAGGATGTCTTCTCTCATGACTCCTATTCCATAATAAACTGGAAGTCCAAGCCAGTGCAATCAGAGAAAGAGATAAAAGAAATACAGTTTGGAAAGGAAGAAATACAACTGTTCCTATTTGCACATAACACGATTTTCTATGTAGAAAACCCCAATCAATGACAACAAAATAGCTCGTAGACTAATAAGTGAGTTTAGCAAGGCTGTAAGATCAACACACAAAAATTGTATTTCTAAATACTAACAATGAACAACTGGACTTTGAAATTAAATAAATATGTGTGTATGTGTGTATAGATACATGCACACATAAATTATATATGTGTATAATCTCTTGTATTTCATTTTAATTATGTGTATGTGTCTATATCACTATGTAGTAAACAATTGATCACACTCACAATAGACCCCAAATAAACACACATACATATAAATTTAAATCTAACAAAACATGTAAAGACTTACATGTTGAGAACTATAAATGCTGATAAAAATATATCAAAAACCTAAATAAATGGGGAGACATACTATGTTCATGGATTGAACAACTCTATGGAGTTAAAATGCTACATATATAGTCAATTCTCCCCAGTCTGAGCTAAGATTTAATATACTCCCAATCAAAATGTTAACAGGATTTTTTTTGTAGACACAGACAAACTGATTCCAACATTCTTATGGAAAGTCAAAGGATCTTAAATACTCAAAGCAATTCTTAAAAAGAATAAAGTTGAAAGACTCATGCAACCTGAGTGTTTTTAAGACTTGCTTTAAAGCAAGAGTAATCAACACAGTACAGTTTTGGCAAAAGGATAGACCCATTTATCCATAGAACAAAATAGAGACTGTAGAAATAAGACCTACAAAAATATGGTCAATTGATTTTTGACAAAGATACAAAGGCAATTCAATGGAGATGACACAATATTTTCAACAAATTGTATTTGAACAAGTGGGTACCTCTAGTAATTGTTTTTTATTTTCTGTATTTTATGTTTTGACATTTTAAAAAGCTTGCTAGCCCTCCCAGGGCTAGCCAACTCTTAGTTGGGGAGCGCATCTTTCCTATGGAACTCCAACCACCTCATTATCTAAGTTTCATATACCAAACCAACATTTTCTCCTGCTATATATCATCCCAGGTACCAAGCAACTAGAGACCATCCCTATACCCTAAAGCCCACTGGAATTATTCAAAATAGCCAATCCTATATTGGTTATCTTGCCCTATCTTGCCTTTTCTTTGGAAACCCCAATAAAAGCTCTATATTCAGCTTTCCCCTTACTCTTACTCTCCTTGACCAAACCTGGTATTTCTCCTGTGGCCCTGTGTGGCATAAGCATGTCCCTGTCTCTCGGGAAATGTAAGTAACTCATCTTTCAATAGCATTGACTTCTCAAAGTCAGCATTCAGTCATCTCCATAAATTAAAATCCAGTGGGCATAATTTTAATATAACACCTGAATGCAAAGAATAAACCTCGACCTATACTTCACATCTTATATAAAAAATAACTCGAAATGGATCATATATCAAAGTCAAACTATAAAATTTTTAGTAGAAAACATAAAAGTCTTTATGACCTTGGATTAGGTAAAGCACTCTTAGATATAATACCAAAGCGTAATCCATAAAAGAAGAAATTGATAAGTTAGACCCCATCAAAATTAAAATCTTTTGCTCTGTGAAAGACACTGCCAAAAGAATAATAAGAAACTTTAGACTGGAAACCAATGTATGTAAGCTCGACAATAAGAAAACAAACAACTATTTTTAAAAATAGGCAAAATACAGATTGCATATAAGCCCCTGAGAAGATGCTCACTATCATTAGTCGTTTTAGAAACACAAATTAAGACCACTACCACTACCTACCTATTAGAAAAGCTAAAACCTACAAACAGCAGCAGACATGTGCTGTCAAGGTAGCAGAATAACTGGAACTTTCATACATTGCTGGTGAAAAATGTTATGGTAACTACGGAAAACAGTATGGCAATTTCTTATAAAGTTAAATAGACATTTATTATACCACCCAGTAATCTCACTCCTAGGTATTTACACTAAAAATATGAAAACTTATGTTCACATAAAAACCTGTAAACAAATATTCACAATCACTCAAAACTGAAAACAACGCAAATGTCCAACTGGTGAATGGATAAACATCGAGGTACATTGATATAATGAATTACTACTTAGCAATAAGAATAAATAAACTATTGATTCATAGATAACACTGAGAAATCTCAAAGGCATTAATGCTGAGTAAAAGAAGCCAGTCTCCAAAAGTTACATACATACTATTGTGATTTCGCTGCTATGACACTCTGGAAAACACCAAACCATAAAGGTGGAGAACATATCAATACTTGCCAGGGGTTAGGGGAGGGTGGAGAGTTTGACTACAAAGGGGCAGAACAAAGAAATTTTTTTGGAGTAATGGAATTGTTCTGAATCCCGATTGTGGTGGTGGCGTTTACACAAATTTATACACGTGTTAAAACTCATGAAATGTATACCAAAAAAAGGAACAGTTTTTGTAAATTTTTTACAAAAACTATTTTAAAGAGGCAAATCCAAACACTTGAGGGCAGAATTGTTTTGTTTTAAATAAATCACTGGGTTCAATTTTAATATTTAGTTTACCCAAAGTTTGAAGAATATATCTCATAGTGCTGACAGAAGTTTCAGGGGTCAAATCCATTTTGCCAACCAAATTAAGACAATGGCTTAGAGGCAATTTTAAAATGTCTGACTTCAATTTTAATCAAACAAATCATCCATCCACAGGGTGTTGGGGGGGGGGAGGGGACCAGATAAAAAATGTAACTCAAACTGTATAACACTATTAAAAACTGAAAGTCAATTTTCAAACTCTAAATGCTCCATTAACCTCAGAAATTAAATCTCATAAGAATCATGACTCATCGAACATCCCTCTCTCTTTTGCAGATACGCAGACTCTTTTTTTTTTCCCTCTTCAAAACACTGAAGAAAGTACTTACAGCTTTAAGGGTAAGATCACACTGGAAAACAAGTTTCCGGAGTTGTGCTAAAATTTCTCTTTTAGTATTTTCCAGATCATTTCGCCTTTCTTCAACATTTGTCACACAAACTTTGTAGAGTTCATTTGCTTCTTCTACCTTCAGGAATACCACACAAAAATTAACACTAGTCACTAGAATCTATATTTTAAAACAAATACTTATTGTAGTATAGCTCAAGTGAAATAATTGAAAAGACTTAATGCACAAAAATTCTGAAATAGTCTATATTTTAAGTAGAATATTTCTAAAGATAACAATTTGTTTTGGTCAGTGACTCAAGGGTACTTGACTTTCATGGATACTCAAGTACCACTTAGAATTAATATAATGTTTGTCTATTAAATAAATAGTCACTTCTATTTAATAGTATTTTCTATTTACATTGACTATGTTTATATAACCTTCTTACAGAATTTGTTTATCAAATTATATTTCATAAATAATATACAAAGTTTCAGCCTAGCCTTGCTATCACATCTACACACAGGTGCCTAAAGCGTGAACTTTCTAAACAATGAAGTCAAAAATATTGACTTCTCTAAGATACTTCTTTCACAAAGAAACGCCAAAATTCGAAAGATAAGCAAAAGTCTCGTAGCATAGTAGTTCTCAAAGTGTGGATCCCCACCAGCAGCAGTAGCAGCTTCACTTGGGAACTTGTTAGCAATGCAAGTTGTCTAGGGCTAACACTAGACTTACTGTATTAGAAAATCTAGAGAAAGGGCCTGGCAGTTTCAACAAGCCTTCCAGTGATCCTGATGCATGCTAAAGCTGAGAACCAAAGCCTTCCCAGATTATTGCTAATTAACTTGCAAATAACAAAGAAAAATCATTACTTTTTGAAGAGCCTCCTCTTCCAGCCTTCGCTTTTTTTCTAGCTGCTTGTTGAGATTTTTTACTAATCCACTACTTGAGCACAGATGCTCCTCTTCTGCACGAAATGTGGAAGATTTTGCTTTTTCATACTCATCTTGACGTTGTGTGCATAACAATTTTGCCTTTTTAAGAGCAGTCTCTGTTTCGAGCTACACAGAAAAAAAAGGTATTATTAAATACATAATAAATACATTACTTTAGCATGAATATTCAGCAAGATAGTTAATATAACATTTTAGAAAAACTACAGAGTAAGGTATGCATCTTCTCAGGGTAGGTGCTTATATACAGCAGATGACTTTAGGTATCCATAAACAAGTAGATAAAACTTGATTATAATACTAACCATTTTATTTTGCTCCTGTTTCCAAAGTTCCTTTATTTCTTTCCTTTGTTTTTCCATTTCATTTTTCCTCCCAAGTAGAGGCTATTAAGGATATTTTTTAAAAAGAAAAAAAAAAGCTGTTTTCTAAAGGTATGCAATGCAGTTGTTTAAAAAATGTGTATTATACATATACATTTTTACCTGCACAAATTTGTTGGCTTGGAGAGCTGTAATTGTTTGTTGTAAAAGGTGACTGCTCTCTATGTCATTAAGAAGAGCACTGGTAAATAGAGACTGCAGTGGCATAAACTCCTAGAATTTAGAATTGAAAAGTAAATTTTCCAACAGAAACAGCACTAGAATTCTAGACTCCTCATTCTTCAAAAAGAGAAATTTTAAGTTTCTAATTTTTTTAAAGAAAAATGATTAGTTATAAATATGACTATGTGGAAAATATTGAAGAAAATTAATTATAATTAATTATTAAACTAGCAAAAATAGTAGCTAACAAGATTATCAACATTCATATATAATTGTGAATTTCCTCGTTTTTTCATAATAGGCATCCAGGTAAATTCAAAAGGATTTTATTTTGTGAATAAAAATTTTAGCACTTAAATTACTTTCTATATAACTATGAAATGTTTTGATTTTGCAGCGTACAATCAGGAGCTCATCATGGTATAGAACCCTAGGAGTTCACTGAACACTTACCTGTAGTCCAATGCTAGTTCTAGTTGCCTCTGCCAACTTGACAATATTTCTAGTGGACTCCAATTCTGAAAAGGTCAAAGAAGGCATTAGAAGATAAAATTAACTTATTTTTCCCCTTGATACTCTAAAATTATTTGTAATACCCCAATTAAAAAGTGATCACGAATACTAGCTCACATTGTGATATGCTATGATTCCTCATCGGAAGTGTTTGTCAAAATCAACTGGGAAACTTTCAAAATACACTTGCTTAGACCTCACCTCTCTGGTGGATGGGACCTAGGCCTGTGTTTTGTCCTTTTCATAAGGCTATTCAGGTGAATCTGATGGGCATTCCCTATTAGGAACAAATAATGTAGTAGAAAGACAGGCTTTGGGTAAATTCGATAATCTTCCAGTTACTGCTATGTGATTTTAGGCAAGCCTGAGATCTGACCTTAAGCACATCACCTATCTCGTTTGCCTCACCTATATAATGGGGTTAATAATTCTTGTCCTGCCTACTTACCAGGGTTTTGGTAAGATTAAATGAGATAGTGGATGTGAAAGCATTTTGTCAACCGTAAACACTGGGAAAATATTAGCTATTAAGAAAGCTCATACATCTATTGTTTTTAAGTCCCTTTACCATATCATCTAATTATATTTCTTTTCACCCACTAGACTTCTTTAAAGGCAAAGACAGTATACTATTTGTTGGTTGTCTTATAGTAATGTTCGATAAGTACATTCACTGTAAGAAGAGTCTTTCCTATTTCGAGAGGGAAAAATAAACAATTTTATTCACTACAATGAAACAGCTACTATCTTGGAATCATATTACTCATAGTCTATAGAAAATTAATTGTAAACAATTTAGTTCTTACATTCCAAAGTTAATCAGATGCCCCTAAAGGGCCACTTACCTAAGTTAAGCTTTTTTTCAACCCATGACACTATGTTCTTGGTGTATTTTGACCATGTTTTAGCATATGACAAAGCCAGTTCTATAGAGTCAGTGTTCTTTAACAGCATGCTGTCTAGTTCTATAGGAGAAAAATTTCCTGAAAATAAAAATATTAAGGCAAGTATAGATTAATGATCACGTAACTCAAAACCAAGAAGCATTCAAATCCTAAGATGCTCTTCAATGAAAACGGGTTTAAAAAATATAAGTAACAAATTTAGAATTAAAGGGTCACAGTTTAAACTTAAAATGGTTTCAAATTATACTATATTTTTTTTATCTTAATGTGTATTTCTATTATTCATGAAGTTACAAGCCCTATACAATTCTTGAGCAATCTCTATCACATTATCTGCTCTAGCAGGTTTTCTTCCTTAAGTTTTTTTTATGAAAAACTTTATATATCAGTTTATGTTAAAATGAATACATTAGTTTACTAAGCAAGAAGAGATTCGAAACATTTATCAAAATTCAAAACATTTATCAAAAGTAACTGCAAAAATTTTGACAAAAGTTTTAAGTACCTTTAAGCATTACCTTTTTCATTGGATGAATCCACTGATTCCACAGAAACATTTTCAAAAGACTTACAACATGGAAGATAACAAATTTAAGATTAGAATAGAAGGTAACAGATTTTTGCTTCAGATTTTTTTTACTCTAATTTGTTACTCTGACATAATTCCTGCTAAAGAATTTCAAGTATTTAGAACTCAAAGAGCCTGAGAACTGTGTTTAAATGCCAGAACATTTTATAAGAATTATATAGCTTTTTACAAGAGCAGTTCTCAAGGTCCAAGAATGAATAACCTCATTGTTTACTAACAGCATTAGTTAACATTAATAAATCCATTTAAAACTTTAAACTCTGCAGATCTCATAAATATCAGCCAGGAAGTTATAGAAGCAATCTAAATAGATTGCTATCTAAATAGAAGACAAAGACTTATATTTCTTCCAGCCATCTTTTACCATTTTATTAAGTGACAAGCATTTTCTCTGAAAGTCTATTAGAGAGCATAGCACAGAACTGTCTATGATGATGGAAATATTCTATATTTGCACTGTTCAATAAGGTAGCTAACTAGCTACATGTAGCTATTTGAGCATTTGAAAAATGGCTAATGTAACTGAAAAGTAAAATTTTAATTTTATTTATTATAATTAATTTAAATTTAAAGAGCTCCATGTGACAAGAGGATACCTTATTAGACAGTGCAGGAAAACATTATCTACCAAAATTGTAAAATCTCAGACAAATTTCATCTATTTAATTGGGCAATAGAGAGTATGCAGGTATTCAATGCAAGAGGGATCACAGAGTCCTGGGTTTCAAGTCCAAGTCTACCACTTATTAGCTGTATGATACTGTGGTGCTACATATTTAAGCTCACTTAACTTTGGTTTGCCCTTCTGTAAAATGGGAATAAGAACACCACTTTCACAAGGCTATTTTAAGGACTGAGATGATACAGGCTTTGCACAGTACATAGTAATAATAAGCACTGTTAATAAATGGCAACTATTATATTTGAAGATATTTTTCAAAACTCTTCTCAAACAAAATAATTTTATTTCATTAGTAGTATTATATCATCAACTTTATTTCAATCTCCAGGGTAAATTAAAAATTGCAAAAAGGAAAAAAGGGTGCAAAAGATAAAAAAGGAAAAAGTATTTTCCTTAAGTATAATATGTGTGTACAATAGAAGCACAGGAACAGGAAACATGATTCACACCTAAATTTTAAATTGTTTAGAGCCCTGTCACATAGACATAATTTTTATTACATCTTCTGAATTCACAGCAAATCTGAAAAGATACCATTGAGGAAAAGTTGTGAATGATAGCAAAATATTTAAAGACCTTAAAATTCTTCATCATTCTGATATGGTTTATACACTATCCTCCATGATTCATCAATGGATGACTTCAGAAATAGTCAAATTTTTTTCTCAGTATCGTAGTATGTGTAACAAATGCCTTAAGTAGTCATTCATATTTTGTATTGTTTTAAGAAAGACCTGAAGCTTTTATATTATTTTGATATAATACAAGTACTTGGCCCATTTCCAAATATTTGTTGAAATCCTTTTTTAGATTTTATCATCTTTAACAGCAAATGATCAACATATGATCCTGATGCAATTTGTTTAAATATCTTGCATTTGGCGAAAAAAATTTATTTAAATTAAAATATTACCACTACTTATATCTTTAAAGAAATATTCTACATGTTCCTCATGTTCTATCATTTCATAAAATTTTTCTTCCAATTAGGAATCAAAACCCTAATCCTCTCACATATTAATAGAGATGCTCTTACGGATAATTAAGACCTACAGGCCTGTTATTAAGTGTTCTATGGTAACAAACCATAGAATTCGCTTCTTGCATTATTTTTCTAGGTTGCCACCAGTCTGTAAGATCTGTGACAATGTCAGGAGGGAAAATGGTTAAGAATTACTTACTAAAATGTTGGACCACATGACACATGACATATAGTTTCATTATATAAGACACTATAAAATTATCAGATATGTTCTTTTAAATGTTAGATCCTCTTAAAAACTATAAATTTTTCTCTAGAAACTGACCATAAATGATCATATTAGAAATGAACTGATCTGTTTTTCTCGCTAAACTCAAAACTAGTGAAGAGTAATGCTGAGATTAAGATTAGGAAATTACTGAAATATTAAGTTAAAAATATTAAAGTCTTTGTTTTCACACTTGGCCTACCTTACTTTCCCGAGAAACAGGCAGTCGCAATAACGAATCACTACCTACATCTCCCATAAGGAAGTTTGTCAGGCTATCCAGGGAGGTTAAAAAGGAAAAAGAAACAAATAAAAAAGACAAGTCACTACATTGCTCTGTCAACGGGCTTTACATTCAACATGTCATCCCAAACAAATATTTTTCACTAAGACTGTTAGAAAAAAATTCCTAGGAATCTATTCACATAAACCACAGTCACTTGCAAATGAATGTTACTTCTTAACAGCTATTAAGACTCCTCCAATATAGTAATAAACAACACAGAATGTAGCTTTTCTAAAGTTGTGATAATATTTTACATTGGTTAATACTTTACTTAACTGAATACTGTGACATACTCTCATGAGAAACCTAGGCCCAAATTTCTTTAAATGACAGTCCTCTACTTACATATTCCCAAAGGTAAAGGCCAAGGTTTCAATGGAAGAAAACACTTCCCTGAAGAGATCGTTTTTGTTTTCTTCATTAACTTCTGTGAAGTTCACAGCTATAGGGAAAGGTTTGTTACAATAAATGAGAGAGAAAATATTTTAAACTAGATTTATATAAAGTCATTTAATCTCTTAAAAATCCACCATTATTTACAGAAGCAATAGAAGATTCAGAAACTGAACAGCTTAATACAAAATGGATATGATGTTCAAGTTCTTCATTAAAGAAATTATATAAAAGAATCAGCTTTCATAAAAGTGGCTAGCATTCCAAACTGACGACTACATGCATTACATAATTTGATACAACTAAGAAGTGACTCAATGTGAAATCAATCAGTCTTGGAGTCACAGAGTCCGTGTTACACCAGACCTCTCTCATTAAGAGTGTTCTGTACTATTTTCTCTTGCTTATTGCTTTATGGCATTTTTAAAAAACAGCTAAAAGCACTGTGGCTAACTTAAGTACATTTTTCACTATGGATTACCAATAATTGAAGTCATATATACATATATGACATCACCTAAAACCTATATCCAAAGTATATCACACAAAAAATACCCAATGCTTTAAAAAAACTTAAACTCCTATTTTTTTATAACCTTATTTCTTACAGGCTCTTGCATTCTGAGGTCCACATTTACTATACGGATATTCTAATGTTTTGCATTTTGTTAAAGCAAATTATGAAACATAACTGAAAAAGGTTTCTTATTGTAACTTCTCTGTATGCACCTATGTTAAATATCCAGATACAATTCACCAAGACAAAATCTGAAGGTAGAATTGGCCATTTTGAAAAAGTAACCTGATTCTACTCAGGTTGAATTTAAGAAGCAACTGGTTCCCTGTGTCCCACCACCCCTCCCTAGGATCCTTGCCAACAAAGGGAAGGTATAGAAACCGAGAAGAGAGGAAGCCATTCTTTGCCTTAAAACAGAGTTGTTCTTAAGCTTGGCTACACATTAGAATTACCTAGGGAGATTTAAAAACAAAGTCTAGATCCCACCATTGAAGACTGAAATTTCATAGGTCTGAGTGAAGCACAGATTATTTGTTAAAAAGCTCACCCAGGTGATTATAATGTGCAACTAGGGTTGAAAATGCTTTCTGGAAAGCAAGGATTCCTAAGCAGAGATGAATTAAACCTCCAGCCTATAAACCTCATGAAATGACAACCAAGATTTTACATGTATAAGCCTTTGTAGATATGAGGGGCAAAGGTCCACACCTTCCATCAGATTCTTCTAAGTATTCCTTATGCAAACAAAAAGAAAAACTTAAGAACCACCATAACTAATTTTAAAAATATTTTTGGATTTCTGCTCTGGCCAAGACAGAAAAACAGTCTTATACTTCTTTCTGAAACAACTAAAAGGAACCCATACAAAATATATGAAACAACAGTTTCAAGACACTGGTTATCAGGCAAAAAGAACAGGAATCCTGACAGACAAGAAACAAACATGGCAAGCTCCACAAATGGCCCCAGCTTATGGCCTAATATCACACAAAACAGATTTCTGAGCAAGCGAAACTATCAGGAACAGAGGTCATTTCATAACAGAGGTAATTTCATAACTCCTTCCTATGATAAAGGAGTCAATTTATCAAGATATAACAATCTTATTTATGCACCTAGTAAAAACTTCAAAATGGATGAAGAAAAAACTAAGAACTGCAATGAGAAAGAGACAAATTCAGTGACAGCAGAGTTTTCAATAACTCTCTCAAAAATGGACCCAATACATAGAGGGAAAATGGGTAAAGACATGGAAGACTTTCACAACACTATCAGCTGTCTTGACTAGATGGAAAATTACAGAACAGCAAAATAACATGTTCTTTTCAAGTGCCAACTAAATATTTACCGTATTATAGGCCATAATACACATCTCCATGGGTTTGAAAGGACTCAAAATATGTTCTGTGACTAGATGGAATTAAATGAGAAATAACAGAAAGATCTCTAGAGAACCCCCAAATATTAAAAAGCTAAAAAACACACTTCTAAATCACCTATGGGTCAAAGAGGGAAATTAGAAAATATTTTGAACAGAATGAAAATGAAAACACAACTTATCAAAATTAGTGAAAGGGGGGTACAGAGGGTAGGGATTACAAAAGGATACCCATTATATGGATTGTGATGGTTTCATAAGAACACGCATGTGAAAACTGATTAAACTGTACCCTTTACATGTGCGCAGTTATGTCGATAATACTTCAATAAAGCTGTTTTTTAAATCTCATTGGAAAGGAGACTCTAAACAGCAATTTATGATGTAAAACCAGCAAAAATGTAAAGCCTACTCATATTTTCAAACTTTAGACTTTAAAGAAAAAAGTACTTTGTAACACTGTCCAAAATCCTATTATTATTCTTTACTTCCTATGAATATTCTTTTCGTAGCACTAAACATGACTAGGAGATTAAAAAAAAAATTGTGAGCAGTGAGAAGACAATTATTCGAACCATCTTCTTTCCTTACCTTCATCCCTACCTGAATGAGGTTACAGCCATCTAACAGAAATTCCTATTTCCTGCTTGTACTTCAAAACAGCTCTATATTTCTAAAATCTCCCCCTATCCCACTGTTTTTTTGCTCCTGCTTAGTGTTGCAAAGTCTGGCTCTTTTTCAATAATAAATCTTCCCATTCTCTCCTGCATACTTCACTTGCTCCCATTCCATCGACATTTTTTTCTCTTCCATTACTAACGTACTCAAATCTTTCCCAATTGAAAAAATTTTCATTTTACCATATTTCTTCTTAAAGCTACCACCCAATCTACTTTAACATTTTTTTACTGTCGAACCTCTACAAATAAGTCATGACTGAATTCACCCGGATTTAGCTTTTCATCTAGTTAATGATTATCAGGGTTGGAAAACTTTTCTTGTAAAAGGATAAACAGTAAATATTTTAGACCTTTCAGACCATACAGTCCATTGCAACCATTCAACTCTGTCTAAAAGAGCCATACATAAATAAATGAGATATAATGATATACAAACAAATAAAGAGTGGCTGTGTTCCAATAAACCTATTTATGAAAACGGTCAGCAGGCCAGATTTAGCACTCAGGTGGCAGTTTGTTGACCCCTGGTTACGGAATAGGTTCCAAGGCCAGTCTGCCTTGGTTAAATCCTAACTCTGTCTCTTATTAGATTAGGTAACTTAACCTTCTTTGCCTCAGTTTCCTCATTGATAAAATGGGAATAATATGTATTTTGAAACCGTTGTGAAGACTGAATGAACTTCGAACAGACCCTGTTACATGGAAAATTCTCAATAAATGTTAGTTATTATTTTCATTTAATACCACTGGTAACACTGTCAACAATAACTTCCTATTAATCAAACTTGAAGGCCTTCTTTTCTTCTAAGTTTTCATCCTACTTGACCATTCTGCAACTCTCAACATCTCTACCATTTACTATGTATGCAACCTTGGACAAACTTCTCTGTTTCAGCTCCATTATCTGCCAACTGGGAGCTGATATAATAGTACTGATCTCAAAAATTTACTCTGAGGATTAGTGGGATAATCTATGTAAAGAGCTTAACAGTTTCTGGCATACAGTAAGTACATCCTCAATAATGTCAGCTATTATTACTTTAAATTTTAACTACTTCCTTCCATCTTGAAGTATTCTGCTCACTTAGAAGCAATGTGTTATAGTAATTAAAAGGAGAAAAGCTTCAGAGTTTTAGACTTGAGTTCAAAACTGTGACCTCTACCACTTCCTGTGATACTCTCGATATTATCACCTAACTTCAATTTCTTCACAGGTACCATGACATATTATTGAAAAGAACAACTGAGAAATTGTAAAGCACCTAGACTACAGTGCTTGGTAATTGGCAAACATGAGCATCCTCGTGTTCTATATCTCTCTATAGACAATTTGTACTTCATATAGTCATTCCCACTCAGCTTGCATTTCTCATCTTGGCTTTCTTCTTTATTCATTATCCCCACAGAATCTCATCCACTTTCGTACCTTTAAGGGAATGAATCCGTAAACCGCCTGTCTAATTTTAAGCTCTGAGCTCCAAACCCACATTTCCATTGGTCTGTTTGATATATTCCTTCCACTCCTTCCCAGTCTCTACCAATCAGCACTGCAATCTCAACATATATTAAACTGAATACCTTCTCTTCTACTCTGTCCCTCAAGCTTACTCGTTTCCATACATTCCTTAGCTCATTAGCTTAGCTTTCGAAATGCTTCCAAAATATTTTTTTCTTACTTTCCAATCCCACTACCATTGCCTTAGTTCAAAAGGCCACATTATATCTCTAGTCTGGACTATTTAACAACCTGCTAATTTGGTGTCTCTCTGTCTTTACTCTCTCTCATCTATTAGCCGTTCTTCAAAGCTCGTCAAAATTTTGCTCAAGGTTCAAATAATTGTCTCCCTTGGGTTTCCTGTTAAATAATTACAATAAGCGCCAAGACACAGTACCTCTTTAAGAAGTCACATGAACAGCTTTCATACACATAACTTATTAGAATAGTAACTTTCAAACTTTTTGACTACAACCTTCAATAAGAAATACATATTACATCATGACCAAGTATACCAAACACACATAATAGTTATCAGTTATATAACACCTATAAAGTTTTTTGAGACAACTTTCAGTCTTATAAAACGAGTACTGCTTTCTGGGGTTTTTTTTCCTATTCTTTTTCATATTTTAAAAATGGTGGCCACAGTCTACAGCCATGCCACCCTGAACACGCCCAATCTCGTCCGGTTTTGGAAGCTAAGCAGGGTCAGGCCTAGTTAGTACTTGCATGGGAGACCACTTAGGAAAACAAGGTGCCGTAGGCGTAAAAAAAAAATTAAAATTAAAAAAATTTAAAAAAAGTGTTGGTCACAGTCCACTAACTTAATGCCATCGATCAGGTTTGATTGTTTGAAAACCACCGAATTAAAAGATATAATGGAAGAAAATTCTCACCATTTGCACAGGAAAAAAAAATGCTTAGGGAAAAGAAAAAACAAGAAAAGCTACAAGATTTACAAAAGGGAAACTTTAAGTTGCTTCTGAGAAACACAAAAGACTACTTAAAATACATACTATATTCTCAGATAGAAATGTTAAGTATTAAATTCTCCTTAATTTAATTTTAAATTTAACTCAAAATACCAAGATATATTTTGGAACTAGGCATGCTAATTTAAAAATCCTGATGAAAAAAATAAATCATGAACCAAAAAAGTAATGGAAAGAGGAGTTACCCTCACAGATACTAAAAAATACTATACACTGTACAATAAAGACAGTGTGGTATTGGCATATGACTAAACAAATCAATGAGACAGAATAAGGTCCAGAAATAGATATAAATTTATATGACAATTTAGTGTATTTATGATAGACATGGCATCACAAATTGAAGAAAAATGAATTATTCGATAAATTAGCTAGACATACATTCTAGAACATATCAAAGGCTTATTTAATAAATGACGCTACGAAAACATTAAAAGAAAAAGCACTGGCGAATGCTATTATAATCTCAGAGAAGTCCTTCCTAATTCCGAAAACCCAAAAACCATACAAGACATTGATAAATTTAAAAGCAAAAATTAAACAAAATATCATATGTAAATCAAAAGATAAACAAAGAAAATATACACCTTATGTTGAAATTAAGGGCTAATTTCACTTATACAAAAAAATCAATACAAAAAAATCAATATAAAACAACTATCAAGAAAAAAATGAATAAAGGGTCAATTCACATAAAAAGATGTACAAATGGCTTTACAACATAAGAAAAGACACTCAACTACATCCAAAATGAGGGAAATACAAATCAAACCTATTTTGAGATAATAATTTTTACTATAACTGGATATATAAAGACTGGATAATAAAGCTTGGTAACCAGATCTGTTGGCAAAGGTTCAAGAAATCAGCCTTTCAGCACTGCTATCGGAAGGGCAAACCTCTACAGAGGGCATTTGGCAATATCCAAAATATAAATGCACATGCTCTCTGATCCAGTAACTATCCACCTAAGAATTTACATGGGTATTCATTGAAGCGTTGTTTGTAACAGGAAAAAAACTGCAAACAGTACAAACATCTATTAGTAGTGAACTGGTTAAATAAATTATAGTACATCGAATAATGGATTACCATACAGCTTTGAAACAAAACAAAACAAAACAAATAACACAAAATAATAAAGAAACTCTTTATGTGCAGATAACTCAGAACAATGAGCAAGGAGCAGAATGCTACCATTTGTGTATAAAGGAGGGTAAAAAAAGAAAACATGTATTTGTTTATATATGTGCCATATGTCTCTGAAAAAATACACAAAAACCAGTAAGAGCTGTTGCTTATCTAGGGAAAAAAATGGACTAAGTGTCTGAGGTAGGAAAGATACTTCACTGAAAAGACACTTATCATTTGAATACTCTTTTACCACCTCCATTATGAACTGTGTAAATAAATTGCCTATTAAAAATTAAGTTTTCAAAACAAAGAAAATGTGAGGCTTCTATAATTTTGGATGTGTAATTAAAACTTATTTTTCTTTTCATTTGCCAATTTTTAAACATAGGGCAAACACTGATCATGAAAACCTAAATAAACGGTCCTTTTAATTTATATTACAAATAAGATGGACAAAAATAACTGTAATACTAATGAAAATACAAATATTAAGTACACAATAAATTCCTTCATACTGAAGATTTCTTTATTTCAAAAATAGGCTCTATCTCTCTTACCATATTGCAAATATTTTGTCAGACTGAACTTCCTGCTTGGAAACAGGAGGAGACACAGGAAATACGAATGAATGGGGGGAGCTAAGGATTTTTCTTTTAAAGTTATTAAAAGGTAAATTCCAATTTCTCACTTATGCATAGAAGTGAATAGATTTCATGCATTCGAATCTGTAATAGTACAAACAAGATTAGACCTCTCTGATTCTAAAGTTATTCTGTATTTATTTGTTAATTTATTTTTTTTTATGGTTTGGTATAATACTTGCCAAATGCATTTGACAGTAAAGACCTCCAAAGCAAGTCAGGTCACTGTTGTTTTCTAAATGTAATCAAGGGTTGAGACAAGATAATCTCTACATTTTTGACGGTTTTCTGATCCTAATATAGAGTAGTTTTTCTTCCTGTTTTCCTCTTTAAAACAAATAAAAATGTAGCTTTATAGGTATTTTTGAAAATATTAAAGTAGATAGCTTAAGCAAAACACTCAGATTGCCACAGAACAGACATACAAAAATAGTTTCTACTTCCCTTATGTCTTTCCGGGGTTTGAAAACTAAATTATCATTAAATGTAAGAATTAAAAAAGATCTGATTCAATCTCAATTTTTTTAGGTCACTGAATATTTTTCATTTGGGGTATCAATGATATTTTTTGATGACCTCAAGAACAAGAGTGGGGGAAGGTTTTATTTAAAAAAAAATAAACTTACACCAAAGAAAACACAGTTTTTAAAGGTTTCTAACCTTTAGTCTCAGGGAGTCCTAGTGAAGAATAAGTTTCCCTCCAAAGTAACCTTTTAAATTTCATCCAACACAAAAGTAAAATCCTAATAATAAATCCAAGGGTAAAGACAATCATAGTGGGAAATAATATTCAAAAGATTGCATTACCTCAAAGAAAAAAAGATCTTTAAGGCAGTTGAGAGGCTACTTTCTTCAAGTCTTTTTCTGGAATGTGGATACCAACTAAACACAGGCACACTCCTTCCCCAGGACATCCTGACTGCACACAATAGCTAATGACAACAATTGAATGAACTGTGGTCGCTATTTCCAAGCATGGAAATTTTACTATCTATAGACACAAATTTCCCTATCTTAAGTTAAGTTAAATGGTACTTACAAACAGTCCATTTAAAAACAAATTTGGTTACTAAAGCACATTTTAAAAAGTTGCAATAGCAGTTATCCATTTTCCCATTAAAAGCTATCTCCATTTTTTTCAGTTCTTGAAATACAGAAAAAAGAGAACCACATATATATGATAAATCTATGTCAAAAGTAGAAGAGGAAGTTCTTAAGTAAATAGACTATATTTTATTGAAAGATTTTTTTTTTCTTCCTGCCTCATCCCTTGACACTTGCTCTTTGCCCTCTCTAGATATAAGTATGTTCACCAATCACAACATGTTCTTCGACATCCAGAGTTCTTGTACAAGCCCCTCTATCACAGTCCCTGAAACTCTCTTTAGCCTAGTTAATGTCTCTTCGAACTTGGAGATTCGGCACAGGTAACGCCTCTCCCCAGTGGAGCCTTTCCTTTCCTTACTAAACCAATGGGAGTCACTTTTTCAAGTAGTTACATTACTTGAGTTCATTCTACCTATCAGTGACATTTAACACTAGCGATTACTTCTTAGAAACCTGCACTTTTTAAATTCCATAACATCTTTCTACAAATCATCTCCTTACTTCTTAGGTGTTTCTTAGGTTCCTCTATCTTCTCTGTCCCTGGGATCTCATACTCAGTCCTCTATTTGCTCTGCACACCCTGAGTTGGTGTCATCTTCTTTCATTACCACCTATATATCAACAACTCTCAAGTCCTCATCTTCAACTCTAAACTTCAACTTAACTCCTAACATACAATCAATGGTATGTTTCATCAAGTCGATATCCATCCCCTCTTCTGTAACAATCACATTCCACCTCTACTACATCCCAGTTTCTGCCTTGGATCAGACTGTCAACCCTCATCTAGCCCATTATTTCTAACAATCTCCTCATTGAACTCAGTGCCTCCAGTCTCATCTCTTCTCAAATACTCCCTTTACCCTCTGGCCTTCTTATATACTGTGGCCCAGAATAACAGATTCTAACATCTTTGGGTGGCAAGTCATTTCATCAAAGGATAATGTCTCAATTCATGATTTTTTTAGACGTGCTTTATACACACACACACATACATACATATATATGATAAACTTGTTTTACAATTTTTGTTTCATTTTTTTTCATATTTCAAATAAGGTTCCAATTAAATCTTCTTTTTCTTCGTTTGGTTCTTTCCTTTAAGTGGAGTCACTACAAACAACCATTTTCTAGCACCAACTGTCCTCACATAACAAAGACATTTTATACACTAATAACTTACTTCAAAAGAGCATGGACTCTTTCAAAAAACAAAAACTTTAAATAGTAGTTTACTTAACTTCAGTTAGTATTTTTAGAGTGTTTCCTGACAAAGTTTTAATTTTTAAAAGGAAGAGAGCTTTAGGTGTGACGGTGAGAATATTAAATATTGAAGTACACAAACTAAGAGGAGATGGCTCTGAGGTCATTATGAATGAAAATGTATCACTTGGATCTTTTTTGTCCACACCAACCCACTTTTAAATCTTTCTTACCTTTCACTTTTGCAGTAAGCATTTCTGCAGCATTTTGAAGATCGACAGAATTGAGGTTCTGATGTTTATTCATTACAGACTTTAAAACAATGAGAAGTTCGTCCAGACGTATATGAATGACTTCTTTAAAACAGTCTTAAAAAAGAAAAAAAAATTTATTTGTTTTTAAAACCAAGTTTCAGGAATCTAAACTATGAAAGATTATTTTAAAGCACATTTCAAGTAGAAGCACTGGCTCCACAATTTTTGCCTACTATATGTTCACTTCTATTTTCATTATTGCAATTATATACAATTTATATGTATAGCCTTCAAAAAAATCTTTAATCTTTTTAAGTCATTAAGGATTTCAAAGGCTCTCCCCATCATGGTCAACTTAGCATTATCTTTTTCAGTTTTCTCAGTCTAAATATGCTCTCTAGATTTCCCTGGCAGCAACTTTATAAGAAGTTTTCCTGCCTTATAGTTTTTATTCTAATACGCTTTTTAATACATATGGTAACAGTTAAAGCCTTACAATGTCTGATATATTAATCAATATTTAAGAAAACTTACATGTTAAATTTTCATGTTAGAATTGATTCTTTGCATGAAGTTAATTCTAAGACACTAGAAATGAGCAACTCATAGGCGTATAGGTATATAAAGAACACCATTTGACGTGACCTTTTTAAAAATTGTCATATAACTAACATGATACAATGCATATAACTTTATATGATTCGATGAATTTGTGTACATTTTAGAACAACTGGATTAGTGGCCAATGATGAAAAAGAGGATCGTTATAAAAATTCCAGGTTTCTGCCTACTCTTAAAAAATTAAAATCTGGTTATACCAGGCCCACATCCTCAAGCATCTAGAACAAAGCGGCACTGCTCTCATAGATGTGCCTTCTTTCCTCGACTCCACTGTCTACCCCCAGCCTGCTTCACTCATTTACACCAACTCTGGTCAGCAGGATGTGGACAGCATTTTATAACCCCTGGAAATAAGGTGACCATATAATTTATCATTCAAACTAGAACACTCCAGTCAGTGAAAACGGGGTGCTACTAATAATCATGAGAGCACTTACAGGCATATTCCTGGATCATCGTCCTAGGCAAATCGGAAAGCAAAATAACTCTAACTTTTAAAACCTCTGAAGTAATCCTCAAAACTTTAAAAAGACAACCATCTTAAATACAATATTCCAAGGTAATTTTCCTTTCTATAACCTTACATAGCACTAGTGTTTAATAACAGGCAATTTATTCAGTGCCCTCATGTGCTTTTAGTACCTAAAAGTAAAGGATATTATCTCATTTAACTTTCATATCAATCCTATCACACAGATAATTTAAAAATCTCCATTGTACAGATGAGAAAACTGAGGTATACCTAAGTTCACCAAGTTACTAAACTGTGGAGCTGGAATTTAAACCCAGGGAGTATAATTCTAGAAGCCATGCTCTTAATGTTATACTGCCTCCCTACTGAATACCTTTAAAAGCAAACCAAAATAAAAAAACCATGTTTAAATAGTGTCATCCATAATAATAACATTTTTTTTCAGAAATGTTAAAAGACAATCATTAGAAAAATTGTCTATAAAAAACAAAAACAAGAAATTATACCATTGTGCATCAACTATTCCATTCATAATCAGCATTTTCAAGAGAGAGAAATATGTAGGATAAGAGGAACAGGCAAGGTTAAGAGTTGTGCATATATATTGGGGCAACGAGTATTCCAAGAAGAGGCAGAGAAAAATAGTTCAGGGAAGCAGAGAACAGAGTGCCTTCAGGAGAAAATCTAACTCATTCAACCAACAAATTTTAATGACAGGAAAAAATATACAAAGGACTAGGTGCTCGCCTAAGTAGCCTTAGAAATGAGTGGAGTCTATAATGCTAAAGGCAAAGAAAATGCAAATAAATACTGTACTGTTGTTGATAAAGTGTTTTCCATGAAGGTTCAGGTTAACAATTCTGTACATGTATACTGGAACTGAGCAATTGAGTAAATGGATGGTGGATGGTGGGAGCCAAGGTATCACTGTTGGGCCTGGAAACTTACTACTAAGCAGGAGGAGGAAGCTATAATGGTACAAGTGGTGATGAATTAATGTTGATACTTCAGTCAGAATTCATGCTTAGCTTAATAGAGATATAGGTGGCTACATGTAGAAATATTTATAGGTATGTGTGTATATACAGGTTAGTATACACACATATATTTCTTTGCTATGTCAGCTGAGAGGGCCTCAAAGAAATGACATCCCTGTAGCAATGAGCACATCTAGCATGCTGATCTTGGTTTCTAATACCACTGTCCAATGAAAGGAACCAGGAGTCCTTAGATAAATGGCTGATTCTAGGATTGGGGCAGGAAATATACAAGATGAGTTAGGAGCATCTTATAGTACCAGAAAGTAAGAGCTAAAAAAAAAAAAAAGAAATCTCCCCCTCAAAAAACAAAGAAACCCACAAAACCCTCACATTGAAGAGAGGATGCCAACAGTAGACAAGAGCCAACTGAAAGGGCTCCCAATAGCCAAAGGTGGAACAATTTGAGCAACAAATAATTCAAAGTATAAAGTAAGTATTCATGAGTCCATAGTGATACAAATGAATGACTGAATAAATGGAGAAGAGACAATCTCTTGTATAGAAAAATTCCAAATAATTTATATAAATATAAATTATCTCCTCAAGGAGGTGAAGCATGAGCATAGTGACTTCCTTCTAAAGACTATAGTATGGAAGGGGGTACAAAAAGTAACTTTACAGTAGAGAAACCTGACTACTGTGTGAAACAGGTGATCAAGGTCAACATCAACAATGATAAATCATGTTCACATTAAGTATTCTTGATATGATGTAATAAAAAAATGGCACTTTACATTTGTTACTTTTCTTCCAATATCCCATTAACTCCAATCTAATCATGACAAAAACATCAAATTCTAATTAAGGTTCATTCTACAAAATACCCAGCAAATATTCTTTAAAACACATTAAGTACTCTTGATATGATGTAATAAAAAAATGGCACTTTATATCTGTTACTTTTCTTCCAATATCCCATTAACTCCAATCTAATCATGACAAAAACATCAAATTCTAATTAAGGTTCATTCTACAAAATACCCAGCAAATATTCTTTAAAACTGTCATGGACAGTAAAATGAGCAAAGTTTGAGAAACTGTCACAACCAAGGAGGGCCTAAGGAGAACATGACAATTAAATGTGCTATGATAGGATCCTGGAGGAGAAAAAGGATATTAAGGACCATTTAGGGAAATCTGAATAAACTACGGACTTTGATTAACATTGTTCATTAACAGATCAATATAAGACGTTAATAAATAG